CAATTCTGGCACACAAGTGGGTCCTCGAGCCTCAAAAGTACTGCCTGATTTTCCCTGCTTCCAGAGACACATCACTGGCAATCTTTAGGGTGGCCTCTGGAAGCAAGGGAAAGTTGGAGTTCACCATTTGCAGAGACTCAATCTCCAGGAATCCCAAAGATTACTGTGTGCATGTCTGAAAGCAAGGAGTACGTTGCCCTTTGTTCTGCAAGATCAATGGGCAGTACAACAGGCATGTCTCTTTTGCCCAATGAAGTAGATCAGCTGTGCTGGAACGTATCCCTACATAACTGATCTGTTTCATTTGGCAATGTTTGTTTCTAGCTGAAGAGAGGTAACGGGCTAGAGGAGAAGAAGACAACTCCTCCCCTATACTTGTAAAGCTATGGTTCTCAACCTTGTTAAACTTGTGATACTCCTTAGAAAATGCTAGCTTTTAGCTTCTATTTTTTACTACAGACAAATAATACAGCAGTTCTTTCATGGCAAAAAATGTCAAGACCAGAACTGGTCAGTGTTTTTTACACTGTAGATGTCTGTTTAAAATTTCTGGGTTTATCTTGTGACTCATGTGTAGGTTCTTCCTCCATGTGGCACTGTGGTTGAGAATTCACTGCCTTAAAGTTAACAGAGTAAGTAGAATTTATTTGTGCACAGGCATTAGATAGCTGTCTTATGCAGTTTGATTGGATGTTAAATCTAAAAAATCTCTTTCATTCAGGAGAGTGTTATTGAAACTCAGGTGGCAAATGAAGAAAAATGTGGTTTACTGCATAATAGCTAGCTGAAGCCAATTTTTAATTTTGCCTCTTCGTATTTGAACTCTTAGGCTTAACAATATTTGTTCTCTCAGCCAAAAAGTATGAGCCAAAGAGTCACCAGATTCATGCCCATATGTCAGGAAATAATATGTAAGGCAAGGATTTCTTTGGGTCATATCTTTTATTTGACCAGCTATGTAGTTCGGATAAAATTAGATGAGTTTCGAATGTAAGACATGCTTAGCATTCAAAAGCTTGTCTAACTTTATCCCAGCTATATAATTGGCACAATAAAATATATCACTCTACAAAATCCTTGACCCTTGCATAAGCTATGGACCATCGTGGCAACAACCTTACCCTTACACTACTTAAAAAATAACATAAAAAATAAATATAGAAATGTGACCGTCCGGCTTCAAGTATCTGCTCTTGAGCGGCCTTTGCCCAGGTGGTGGGCGTTGGGCATTCTCTGGGCTTGTGTCTTTGGCCGAGCAGGTGTCTCCTCCATGACTTACCTTCCCCACTCTCATCTGCCATGACTTGTTGGTTCTTCAGTGGATGGGGTCGGCTGTGTGGTTTGCTCAGTGGCCCGCAGATCACCTGGCGGTCATTCACGGGGCTCCCCCCCCCCCTACACCCCGGCCTCATTCCACCTCATGTGTGTTGTTCCTCCGTTGGCCTCAGCCCCTTCTGTGGAGTTGCACCCTTCTGCTGGCCACCTACTACGACTGTTTGCCAACGTGGGACCTGTTCTCTCAGTTCCGCCCCTACCATGCCTTCTTTCTTCCCTCCAGCCCCTTGTCCCGGGGAAACAAAGAAAATCTCCGAGGTTCTCCCCTAGGTCTCGATACTTGGGGAAACTCAAAAAGCCATCCCCTCCTCAACCCCTTCACACGGGGAAACAGAAAGACAAATCATCAAAGAAACCTTAAATACAGGGCCGCTCCTTGGCATGACTACACCCCGCTTCTTCACTTCTCTCCCTGCCCTTATTCAAGCTCGGGGACGCTCCTCCTGTTCTCAGTCATCCCTGGGATTTCTTCCCGCTCCACTGCTGCCCCAGCCGAAAATGACAGCGATACCCACCCTGATTGTGACCACCCTGGGGATCCTCTCAGGGTTCTTCCCTTCGGTGTGTTTCCCCTCTTGCTGTGGCCGCCTTGTCACTCCCACCTAGGATCCTGCCGAGTCTCCAGTTTGTCCCTGGGTCCTCATTTGGGTCCAGGGTCCCTGCTGCCTGACAGCCTTCTGTCCCTGGCTCTCAGCGGGTCGCCCTGCTCCATGCTGCTCCTGTCCACTCCCGGGTTGCCGGGTTCAGTGAGACCTGTGGTAGGGGTCTCCTTCCCTCCACGGGCCAGCTGGGGTCCTTTTCCCCCGCCTCCCCCTCTCCTCCTCCTCCTCCACAGTGTCGGCCACCATTTTTATCTTCGCCGGCCAGAGCTCATGGCTGACATCACTGGCCAGCTTTAATTAAGTGGGATGAGCCACATGGGCTCTTCCTTCCCCCTGCTGTACTGTGGCTTCTGCTGTGGGTAAGTGCTTGTCGTTATCTTTTGCACGTCCCTTCCTGGGACGAGAAATATAATATAAATGAATATAAAACAGCACATTCTTTAAAGCTTGAAGGGGTTTTCTATACTATTTATTTAAGCTCTGCCATCTCATTCTCAGGGAAAAATGACATTAGGATTTAAAAAGTAAAAATAACATGTATGGCCTTAGAAATATATGGATCAGAATATATCTAGAGAAAACTATAAAAGAGGGCCTGATTCTGATCTTCTTTGCCAACAATGAACTTTCTGAGGAACCTGTTTTTCTCAATGAATAGTCCTATTGGAACTATTCAAGATAAATAGATATAAATGGAAAAGCTAATGGAATACGGTGTTATTCAGCTTGAGTAAGAAGCTTGTTATCTGGCCGTAAATAACTAAAGTAAAAATTAAAGTTATTGATCTTGTACACACTAATGGATGTGAGTAATTTCATGCATGTAATTTTTGCTAATGAGTTAAAGGGCCCAATTCCAGTAACTTAAATCCTTGTCGCTCACCTCTTAGGACTGGGACAATTGGGGGTATCTGTTGAATCTAACATTATTCTGCTTGCAGGTTTAGCTTTAATTCTATGCTGTTTTCAGTTACAGATATTCAATTTAGACATGGACCAAACATGAATATATTTTTTGAGGCAGATAAGGAAATTTGAAGAACAAAAGCGGGGGGAAAAAACTATAACAATTTTAAAGAATTGCATCAGTAAATAAATATGTCAGTTAAAGTCCTGATCAGCTTTGGTCGTGCTGATTGATATGATTTGAAATATGGTTAGTTTCTTTTTCCTGAGCAAATGTAGAACTTCACAGTATAGATATTTCTTTATAAACATGACCTATGGTGATACAGTCAAGTATTGTAAAGAATGTATGCTTCAGAAGTTTTAGATACTTACAAGACACTCTGGTCTTTATTTGGAACAGATACTGTAAAATATATTCAGTGTATTCTGATTGATGCACAATGTATTCTGAACTAAGAACTATATGTCTGTCTGTTCAAAGACAGCATTTAACTTGCTTTTCCTGTCAAAATGAAACCTAGGTATTAGGATGCAGTATTTTGGCAGTGTAATAAAGTATATTCTGTGTTAAGATAACAGATAAGAATGTTTTAATTAATCTTTATGTTCATTGTTTTTTATGATTAAGCCCTGCACGCTTGGTCAAATATTTTAGTTTTATCACAAACAAATAGAAACTTAACAAGTTTACCTCCTTATGTTGTATTTTGAAAGGAATATTTTAAAGCTGTGTTGAACAAGCTCCAAAAATAAGTTGGTAACTCTGGATACCACAGTGTTCAATAGTCGAATGATAGAGTAGGTGTTTTGCTTGCCAGTGTTCCTTCCAAATTGCTATAATGCTGTCTTGATTTCAGGTTTTTTCCTGAAAGGAATACTACTTGCAGTGATAAAAAATATTGATTAGGAATTGCTATAATATTCCCGGAAGTGCTATTTTGCAGAGGTACGGGGCCAAATTATATGGTAATTTAAACCAAGTACAATTGCACTAAAATCAATAGATGCATCCAGATGAGCATGGACATGCAGTGTCTGGTGCCACAGACCTGTCTGCAGCGCCATACACCACACATGCAGGTGTTCTCCATGATACTACTTTGCAATGCAGGGGGAGGGGGAGGGGGAGGGGTTTCTGACCCCAGGAAATCCCCGTGTCAAAAAGAGCCACACCAAAAAAACCAGGGTGATGCATATGGCAGCAATGCATGCCCAAAACCAGAGCCTGGCTAGCCAGAGCCACGCTCTGGCTGCCAGCCACGCTTCCTGCTGCAGGCATGCCATGGGTACAGCTCCTGGATGCCCCCAGGACCCCAGGTAAAGCCGCATAGTTGCTGGTCTCAGCCTCCCCTACCCCACCTGGAGTGACCTGCTGCGGGCCAGAGTACACATGGCAAGAGCATTCCCCAGGGACAAGTAGCTGTGGCACAAGGTGTGCTGCTGCTACTTTTCTCCAGGAAACACACATTCCCAGTCAATCTGGATGCACCCAATGGAGCTATGCAGGTTGTAAATCTTTGCAGAATTTGATCCAGAATGCTATGTTAGTTTGGAACAATGTTTTGTATAATAATATATATACATGTGTGTGCGTGCATGCGTGTGTGTGTGTGTTTAAAATAACTGGATGCTAGAGTGGGTGGCACAAATTTAGTCTATAGGCCAGATAGGACCCTGCGTGCCAGGATTGGGCCCTGTGTGGCCTCAGCTGGCTCCTTCATGCAGGATTGGGTCCTAAATTCCAAGAGCAAGCCCTGGGACCTGCTTCACCTCTGCCCAGCCCCACTTGCTGGGTTCAGGGCCCTGTGCCACCTTTACCTTGTCCTGTATGCTGGGATCAGGTCCTGTACTGCCCTGTGTACCAACGTAGTGTGCAGATCCATGGACTGGATGCCACAGAGCCAGGGAACAGATCTGGCCTGAAGGCCAGGGGTTGAGAACCCTAATAAAAATTGGTATCTCATACTGAATACCAGTAATTTTTTTATTTCCAGGCAGCATTTCTGGTAACTTTATTTAAAACTTCAGAGCACCAAGTCCTTTTAAATTCCTAAATTAGAAAAGTACATTGTTCTAGCTTTCTTGTGAACCTTTGGATATACACGTACAAGTACACATCAAGATCTTAGTATTTCTTTTCTTTCCAACTGTTAGCATCAACCAGCATGGGACCTGGACATCCTGTGCATCAGAAATGGAGGTTCCCCAAGCCAGAAACTCTTAAAAGATTCCTTAGCAGCTAAAGAATTACAGACCATGGAAAAACACCTGGCTGGTATGTATAGTGACAGAGGATCATGAAACACTGAACCCTATTCACCCAACCCCCATTAAAATTCATAAGTAAAAGAGAGGAGGGCTTAGCTGATAATGCTGACAATGGTAGATGAGGAATTTATTGTAAGCTCTCTTTCTCTTGCATTGGCTTTTAATTGGGCAGACAGAAAAAAACAACATTTATTTGAAGACACAGAATTTTAAACTTTTAAATTTGAATATGTATGATAATTTAAAAATATCCTGATGACTTTCTGATGTACACATTTTAATAGCTACTGATGCAGTGCTTGGAGGTCAGGTATTGGTGTTACACCTAACGTTTATAAGACTTCCAAAAGACTTCAGCTGGAATGAGCCAGCTTGGTCTCTGGGGCTGTATACAAATAATCAAAAAGTGTAAGGCTGAACTGATTTAATCTTTGCAGGTTAGTCTAAATTGCATAGGTTGACCTGATAAGAAAGTGAACAGATATTCACTTTTCATTCCGGAAATGCAGCTACATGGTTGCAGTGGCCCAGACCAGAAGGCAGAGGATGCTAGGGCATGCCTCCCTGCTTGGCTGGAGCAGAGAGCTTGGGCCAAGGCTAGCCTGCTCATCCTCTGAAGGGCGGTTTGCCAGGGAGGTGCAAAGCATCCCTGCATGCTGGGGGACTGTGAGTTAACTTGAATCTGGAGGGAATTTGGGACAGAAGTTCAGTAAACCCATTTAACCTAAATCAGTTAAATCTGATACTGCATCCATCCAGGTTTATCTTAACCTGAAGGATGATGCTGTTCAGCCTTCAAAAGAGAAGGCTGAGGGGGGATCTTGTGGCCTGTTATAAAGTGGTTAGGGGGGATCAGCAGGCGCTGGGGGAGTCCCTGTTCCCCCGAGCGCCGCAAGGAGTGACCAGGAACAATGGTCACAAGCTGGCGGAGGGAAGGTTTAAGTTGGACATCAGGAGGCGCTACTTCACGGTCAGGGCGGCTAGGGTCTGGAACCAGCTTCCAAGGGAGGTGGTGCAGGCTCCCACCCTGGGGGTTTTTAAGAGGAGGTTGGATGACCACCTTACTGGGGTCATTTGACCCCAGTGCTCTTCCTGCCATGGCAGGGGGTCGGACTAGATGATCTGCTCAGGTCCCTTCCGACCCTAGAAACTATGAAACTAGTTTCAGCAATTCTGGAAATGGTTTGTGTGCAATGAACTTCTGCCATGTTACAGATTTGAACCAGTTTCTGATGGCTTATCCTAATACATTTCTGTCCCTAGCCTGGGAGATTTCATGGGAACTAAGGCAGTGTAAAATCAGTAAGATTATCCCCATTGTATGCAATGTCATTTGTTCTGAAGCACTGACAGGATTAGCATTTTTTTTAAGAGTATGAAAGGAAAACAGTTTGTGTGAAAGTATTTTGACTGGAGTTTTGTTTTAAATATACTTCAGCCACTTGGAATATGGCTTCTCCCTCCTTCCTTTTTTCCCCCTCTAATTATAATGAATGTTTTTGTTTAGACCAAGCATAATACATCATTCAAAACATACACTATTTTACAAAATCATATTGGTTTACTCTGAATAATAAGTTATATTAAACAATGCATAACCTAGAAATATTTTGAAGTATACAGTCCTGCAGGTCTGTGCTGTATTTACTATACATCATACCACTTCATGCTGATACCATAGCAAATAGCAAGCCTGCTTTTTAATAAATGTGATTCTGGAGGTTTGAAGATGTGGTACATGAAATAGAATTGACAGATATAAAAAGGTAAGTTATAATATAAAACTAATTCCAAATCAACTTTTCTCCTAACCACAAAAGTGGTTTTTAAGAAACGCCCCCCATTAAGAAACTGGGGGGCTGTGGCGTAGACACCCACACAGTCAAATGGGTCGCCAACTGGCTGGAGGGCTGCACCCAGAGGGTGGTAGTGGATGGGTCCCTCTCAACCTGGAAGGACGTGGGCAGTGGGGTTCCGCAGGGCTTGGTCCTTGGGCCTGCGCTGTTCAACATCTTCATCAGTGATTTGGACGAGGGGGTAAAAAGCACCCTATTCAAATTTGCTGATGACACTAAGATGTGGGGGGATGTGGGCACACTAGAAGGAAGCAACAGGCTACAATCTGACCTAGACAGGTTACAAGGGAGGGCAGATGAGAATAGGATGGGTTTCAACACAGACAAGTGCAAGGTGATGCACCTGGGGAGGAACAACCGGCACCATACCTACAGGTTGGGGAACTCCCCTCTTGTCAGCACGGAGGCGGAAAAGGATCTTGGAGTCATCATTGACTCCAAGATGAACATGGGCCGGCAGTGTGGGGAGGCAGTCAGGAAGGCCAACCGCACCTTGTCATGCATCCACAGATGCATCTCGAGCAGGTCCAAAGAGGTGATCCTCCCCCTCTATGCGGCACTGGTCAGGCCGCAGTTGGAGTACTGCGTCCAGTTCTGGGCGCCGCACTTCAAGAGGGATGTGGACAGCATGGAGAGGGTCCAGAGGAGGGCCACTCGCATGATCCGGGGACAGCAGGGCAGGCCCTATGAGGAGAGGCTACGGGACCTGAACCTGTTCAGCCTCCAAAAGAGAAGGCTGAGGGGGGATCTTGTGGCCTGTTATAAACTGGTCAGGGGGGATCAGCAGGCATTGGGGGAGTCACTGTTCCCCCGAGCACCGCCAGGAGTGACCAGGAATAACGGTCACAAGCTGGCAGAGGGTAGGTTTAGGTTAGACATCAGGAGGTGCTATTTCACGGTCAGGGCGGCTAGGGTCTGGAACCAACTTCCAAGAGAGGTGGTGCAGGCTCCTACCCTGGGGGTTTTTAAGAGGAGGTTAGATGAACACCTTGCTGGGGTCGTTTGACCCCAGTACTCTTTCCTGCCATGGCAGGGGGTCGGACTAGATGATCTGCTCAGGTCCCTTCCGACCCTAGAAACTATGAAACTATGAAAGTGTAGGGTCAGAATACTGTAGGCTAGGGATGCTCAAACTCTGTCCCATGGGCCAAATGTGGCCCTCAGAGCCTTCCCCATAGGTTGGGAAATTTAGTGGTGATGGAGCAGTGGCAGGTAAAACTGTCACCCTTCCCTACTGCTAGACTCCCAAGCTCCATGTGAAGGGTCGCAGCTGGTCCACAATCCTCCCCCAGCGTGGCCAGATTGGGGCTAGACCATGCCCCCTTCCCTCTGTGCAGACGATTTGGGGCTAGTCCATGACCCTCCCACCAGTTCCAGACCACTCCCCTTTCTCTCTGCCTAGCCAAGTTGGGACCAGGCCACATCCCCTTCCCCCTCATAGGGTTGGGACATGTCCTGTTTTCTCCCACCCAGTCAGATTGAGCCCAAGCCATGCCTCCTTCCTTCTGTGGGGTCAGGCCACATCGCTTCCCTCTTTGGAACTTGATCGGGGCTGAGGTATGCTGCCTTCCCCCCACTCAGGCCTGGGTTGGGGCCAGGCTAGACCCCCCCCAATTGGGGTCAAGCCCCTTTTCTCCCATGTGGCTGGACTGGGGCTGGGATGCCTCTCCCCCCACCTCTGCATGGCCAGATGGAGCCCTGCCACTCCTGACCCAGGCATCAGATTAGGTCCACTGTCTAGATCTGGCCTGCAGAGGGTCCAGCAGCACTACCCATCAGCCTGCTGGACAAAAAGGTTGAGCACCAGTGCTCTAGACTTTCAGGTATTGTCAAGTATCGCCGTCCCTTGTAGACCTGTAGGGTACCGTCTGCCGCTTGACTAGGGTGTTATTAGTTCTAATTGATGATCTACACGTCCATGTTTTGCCTGCCATGACTTGGTGTTAATGGAGTTGGTTCATGTACCTGCACATGTAGTCCAAGTAGTAGTCTCCCCGACGTCCCTCGGGGTCCCGCTTTCCTGAGGGCTCCGCCACCCCTACACCCTCTCCCATTCTACCGGGTGCTGGCCAGCCAGTTGGTCCAGTGTCGTGTCCTCTGTTCCACTCAAACAATAAACAAAAGATCAAAAAAAGAAAACAAGAAAACAGAAAAGGCACTCCTGGCCTGTGTCACTGCTCCTGCTGTTAGCAGCCACTATCTAAACCAAAATTGACCTTCGTGTGGTCAGTCCTTCTTTGTTAACTCACTCTCTTTCTCTGAGAGCCTCTTGTGGAGATCCCCACGATTTCTTTCAGCAGCTCGAGTCTATCTTATTGGTTTGTGGCACTATTACATGCATTACGGTACACCAAAGTCAACAGTGCCCCTCTATTAGAGGTTATTACGGTACGCTTCTCACTGCCGGGCTCCGCCACCTCCCGGCACGCAAACAAGCGGTTCCACTCCCCGCAGGGGCCAGCAGGCTGGGCTCTAAACCCCCGCTGGGGTTTTTGCTCTCTGCCAGAGTCTCCTACCAGCACTCCACGTCGCCTTCACAGTTCCCTGCAGCGTGTGCCGGCTCGCTCCACCTCTTCCGCCTCCTCTTTCCGGTTCTGCTCTCCTCTCGCTTTTCTGTCCCGGGCTCTTCTTTATACCGGTGCGGGAGTTCTCTGCCCCTCCCTTCCCGATGCACCTGGGTAAGGGAGATTTCTGCTGGGCTCCTTGGGGCTGTGGACCTGGGGCCGCTGAGCCTTTGATCAGCCCGGGAGCTTTGGAGCCTGGCGGCTCCTTCTCTCTCTCACAGGTATAAATAAATACAGGACCTTAGTCCATGGAGTGACAGCAGGTTGGGCAGTGAGGAGTTCCTAAATTACACATGCACCTTTTTAAATAGTTTATTTAAAAAGGTGGTAGTTCGCCTTCCTACCTCATTATTTTTCGGTGATAAACCACCTGTGATAAGCCACCAGTCTACAGTTTTGATCATACTTTTTTTAAGAAGACTGCTGCAATATCCTGCTTTGAAGTATCAATTTAGCACTTTCAGACTGAGGCTTCTTTAACAAACTCCTTTAGTTTCTCTAATTCTTTATTAAAATGTACAACTCTTGTCAGCAAGGTATCTTTCCCCAGTGCTTTCCGGTTTTTGGTTTGGGTAGCTGGATGAAGATTCAAATTCTTTAGAGCCAGCTTCCTGTTAGAAAGAAACCTACCTTCTGGCTGTTTTCTCTTTTCAGAGCATACATTGCTTGGAAATATACAATGATTTAAATTTGTGTAGCTATATAAAACAGATCAATCAACTGTTCTTAATATTTTGAACATTCTATCAGGGCTTTTAAGTTCTCCATCCTTTTAAGCATAGTACTTTCTTAGTTTATTTTACTTCTAGTGCTTGTACTAAATATATCTCAGAAAACACAAAGTCAGAGAGTCTAACAGAGATTTACTTTAATATTTGTGTCTAACCTACCAACTTGCTAAAGTGTGAACCTTTGGATAAGGTAATAAGCAGTTCCAACTGTGGCCAGAAACATACTGAAGTGAATGAAAATCAGGTTCTTAAACCTTATGATTTTTTTTCACCCTGAGGTGCATAGCATAAAGAACAAAGGGTTAAAACAAGAAATGATGTATTTACATTATCTCATTTACTACTGTTTAAACCTTAATGATTCCTTGCAAGCTTTGGTAAGTTCTGTTTTCCCCAGTTACCTCCATCTGTGTGCTAGGAGAAATATACTGCTTTTTGAGTTGCTCTATCAGTGTGCATGTCCTCTTTGGACCACTGCCTGAACAACTTTCTTTCTCCAAAGCTAATGTCTTTAAAGTTTCAGTATTTCTTGTGTTTCTAGACTCAGGCCTGGAAAATGGAGCTAGGCTAGGGTATAGCCCACTTAATAGCTTCTGTTTTGTCCCCTCAAACTCTCTTGGTATTCTCTACAATATATCTTTGTTTCACTTCTAGTGTGTTTCCCTTCTGAAAAGTTTCTTTTGATTTAACTCCTTGCAGTCATGCAGTCATATGAAGGAGGTAAACTGCAGTGCATATCTACACAAAGAGATATATTGCATATAGTTCTTTTGTTCTTTACTTTGGTACTCTAACACACCTGATAACAGAGTAGTCTGAAATACTTTATCTGTCCTCATACAGTTTGTGCTGTTGGTAGCTGACACTACACTGTGGAATTGTCTTGATGTATTTGGCCTCAGCTTAGTACTGTAGCAGTGGGCCTTCTTGATCAATCTGTTCCAGTCTCCCACATTTTTCATATAGATGTGGTCTTACCTGTTCTGTTCTCTTTATTTTCTATATCTAAACTTGTAGAATTTGGCTTTGATTTAGCAGAGGTGAATTCAGCATTTTTAGCAGATACAAAGTTTCTTCTGTCTCTGCAAACTGCCTAGTAACATTTTTCTTTCATAAGTTACAGCTGGCTAAGGACAGCTTTGCATTTCCTGAAGGCTGAGCAGTTTTTTGTTGAAAGTTAATTCAGCCAAGTTGGCAATTTGGTTTGGAGTAGGTATTCTGTGGTTACTTTTCCCCTTTAGAATATGTTTTATCATGAAAAGAATTTTTCAATACATAAAAAACTTGTAAATATGTTATGAATCAAATCTAAGTCTGGTATTTCTGATATGTAAGTACTTGTAACAGTCGATTGTCCACATTTTATTTTCCTTAAATGACATTGACAGGTGGTTTTCTTAAAAAAAAAATCCTAAGTCATGCCCCAGTTGCAACATTTGATACGTATCAAATAATGCTATCATGTTGGAAACATGAAACAAGGTTTATGCATTTAATTGGAAAAGTTGATGTTGAAGCAAAATCAAAGTGATAATGTGTGGAATAAGACTGTAGAATTTCTGTTGTGGAAATCTTCTGAGTTATAGATATAAAGAAATGTGTAAAAACATTAGTTTATCTGGAAACTAATTTACTGCCTAAAATTAAGGAAACGTATGCCTACAAAAAACAGTGTAGAATTCTTATTAGGATATGGTGGGTGCATCTACACATGACATTAATTCAAATGAATAAATTCCAGCTTATATTGTGCAGAAGTTTATTGCTCCTGGGCAGAGCCGACCCGAGCAGGGTGCAGAGCCCTGGGCAAATCAGCTCATGCGGGGCCTTGCCCCCGCTTCAATCCTGCATGCCCTGGATGTGAAGGGGGGGTGGGAGGGAGCAAGCGGCCGGATGTAAAGCCGGCGGTGGTGGAGTGGAGTTGCCACGGCCACTCTGCCTGGTTCTGCAGGGCCCCCCAAAATGCGGGGGCCCAGGGTAGTCACCCCAATTCATGCCCCACTAGGAAAGGCCCTGCTCTCAGACACATCTTCAGGTGCACCCAGCACATTGAGCAGCCACGACAGAGTAGCCCCAGCTGTTGGGGGGCTCAGAGGGTCAGCCTGGCAACTGGAGCTGCTGTGACCTGGCTTAGTTTGCTGTGAAAGGGCTGCATAGTGCACAAGGATGCCGCTGTGCAGGGCTAGCCTTCAGTGTCTACACCTGTGTTGCTGCACAGTAAAGAACTCCACTGCATGATAGCATTTGTATTTATGCGTACTAACCTGCAGTAGAGTTAATTAGTTTCTTGCAGCTAAAATAGGGCTGCTTGTGTAGATACTGAGGATTTACTGTAGAGCTAATTAAGCAGCTGTACTGTAAATGTCTCGTGTAAATGTGCCCAGTTATTCCAGTTTTCCAGCACATTTTCCTCAGGATCAAAGAAGGAAGTAAGAGACCTCAATCATTTTGCATAGATGCAGGTTAATTAAATTTAAAAAAAAAATGCTCGGTTTGGTTTAAATTATGAAACTTGCATTATTGTGTATTGATCCCGGGGATTTGAATCGGTTATCTTATGAATTCCAAAGTCATATGTATTGATTTTTCTTTTTTAAAAGAAGCTCAGTGGAAGACTAATTACAAAGCATAATTATTTCAAAAGGTAACAAACAAGCTGATTTTATGAGGTGAGTCTTTCAATTAGATTTTTTAAAAATTAAAGCAGCAATAAGAAATGTCCTCAACTATCTACTAGAAATATAAACAGTCATTGCCTTTTAAATTTGCTAGTAGTAAGACATTTAATCAGTAAAGAGTTAGGAGATTATATCACTTGAGACTTCACTAATAATATAGTTCATTCATCATCATCTTTAATAACAATGTGTTTTCATGTTTTGAATATATTATTTTACACACACAATGAACAAACTGACCTATTAATTAATTAATTTTTCTGACTTTTAAAAAGTTACATGTGAAAAATGTGTAAAAATGAATAATTTTAAAATGGCAGGCTGATGTTATTAGTGGTTGTTCATAATTATTAAATGAGCAAGGTAAACATTTTTATGCAGTAAACACAAATGGAAATGAATGAGAACAGATTTTAAATTATAATAGTGTAAGTTTAGAATTCATTCTTATTTTAGAATTTCTGTTTTCCTCAATTGCTGTCACAAAGGTTTTGTGCAGGTTCATTTCATGGGGCTTGAAGTCAATGGTGCTGTGTGGATTTACAGCAGCTGCAAAGGTGGCTCATGCTGCTGTTTGTTCTAAAGGAAACCAGTTGCCTTTATTAAAGCAAAGCTGAAATAGAGACACCTTCCAGTCAAGGTGTGAAACTGAGAAGTGGTTAGATATAAATTAGATGAATCAGTAAATGCCTCCTTCAGGCCTCGACATTTTGTAAAGATTTTTTACTGTGTCACCTTCCAAGCATACCAAACTGTCCTCATCTTAATAATGCTGGTATGTAATGAAATGATGTTATGCACCTGAAAATTAGAAGCATAAACGTTTTTGCTGAAATGAATTCAGAAGCACAGATTCTTCACAAACTCTGAACTGTCCTTTAATATGTTGCTTGTCCTTTAATATATTCTTTAGATTTCAGAAAGGTAAACTTCCATTCAAATCACTCAGGAGTTTGATTTATATAAAGAGTAGGACATGCCGCCCTTTAAGGGACCAGATTCACTCTTTAGGTTTTAAACCAGAGGTCGGCAACATTTTTGGGCAGAGTGCCAAAAACTCTCATAACCTTAACTTTTAAGATCTTGGCAGGGGCAGATGGTGGAGGAGCCACAAGGGGCCTGATCCTCGTTGTTAGCAGGGCAGCCCCGGTCCTTTCTCCACCATCTGCTCTGAGGCACCTGTGCCAAGCAAAATTCCTTCATGTGCCATGCTCTGACACTCATGCCAGGGGTTACCTTACGCCTGTTTTAGTCCATGGCTGAATTCAGTGAAGCCTGTGCAACTGCAAGCTAGAACCATCAACTCTGGATCCAGACTCGGTCAAATTTCCAATTGCAGTAAAGTTTAAGGGTGTTTGGATATAGAGGGTTTTTTTGGCCCATATAAAGAGAGGAGCCAAAAGGAAAAATCACAACTTGAATCAAGTTCATGTTCCACCCTCACTACAGTTAAAGTCTCTCAGAATCCAGAATTTTGTTCTTGCTCTCTTCTATAGAAAAGAATAACTGCACAGAAGTTACAGTGGCATAACTTGGGTGGAATGTTTGATGATATTACTGGTTTTAAAGCCAGATAGAAAAGATAGATTGAAAAGTTTTGTATAGAAAAGCATATCAGAAAAATATGGCATGTCTGATTTTACCATAAATCAAACAAACAAAAAACTAGTATTTAAAGAATGAGTTTTCACACTAGTTTTATCCTTGAGGCCTGGGAATCACTTGCTCAAACCTGAAATCAATTAGAAAATTATGAAGAAGTGAGAAATACAAACCATTGTGTCCATTCTTTCAATGTAAATATTACTGTTGTCTTTTTCTGCATGCAGACATTGAAAAGGACTTAGCACTCTGGGAAGAAGCAAGGCTGTCAAGGAGCCCTAGTAGTCAACCTACTAGTTTAGTTACTTCAGATCATCAAGGAAACCGTCAAGCCACACCAAGCCAAAATTCAAGGCCTCAAGTGCCAACCCAACCTGGGAAAAATATTCAACTCCAGCTGCAAGGAAATAAATCACCACCACTACCTAATAACAGCAGAACCCAGGTCTGCAGTATCTCAAACAGTAGGCCTCAGACTCCCAACATGCAGACCAACAGGCATCCAACTCCATCAACAGGAAACAGACCTGTGACTCCGAATAGTTTGCTGTCCCGACCTCTAACACCTAGCAACCAGGAAAATAAGGAAGGAATCATTAGTATGCAAAGAAACAGGTCTTTAACATCTAAGAGCCAAATGGGGAGGACCCTTGGAACTCCTTCAGGGCTAGCTGTCCAAATGAGTGGAGACATTGTTGGAACTGTCACTCAGAGAAGCAGTATATCAGAAGTAAGATTTAAAATTAATTTTGTTTTTTCCTCTAGTTTTAAGATTATAAATACTATGAAATTAGAATCTGAGGGTGTGTTATAGTTTGTGTTTCACTTTAAATGAAAACACCAATACCTTATAATAATATAACACCAAGATGAATTAAAGTCATATGGCATTAGAAATTTGAGAAAAGGGACAAGGTATTTTCAGGTTTGAGTGTTTAGGGAGTGATCTTCCTGCAGTTATGCAAACTAAATTTCCAGTGGGGTCGATGGAATGTTTACTTACGTAATGGACAGCAGGATTAATGCCTACTGAGAGCAATACTGTTTCTAAGACTGTGCTTATGTACAAAATATTAAGCAAGAGCATTTTTGTGGAATTTCTGAGTTAACTTTTTCATAGCACTGATTATTTTCAAGCTTAACTTTATACAATAAAAATAACTCAAATATTTGGCACGTAATGGTGTTAATTAGGTACATTTTGCATTGGTAGGTTTTAGCTTTAATAATACAAACATACATTCTGAAAAAAACAGACGTAGTAGAGCAGGACTTAAAAAATTTAATACTGCTTTCCAAATTGGTCTAATTCACAGAATAAAAAAGCTGTTTCCTACATAGTAATAGGTTTTACATAATTAGTCTACAGTGAAAAGAAAGACAAAGTACTTTGGAAATGTTACTACCAATTTTAGAACACCTTTTAACTAGATTGGTTAGCACAGAGTCTGCAGTGCTATTTTTTTTCTCCAGATGAGTTTTCTGAGAGGCATTATTGGCCTTAAAAATGTGTTTGGAAATGACAGAAGGGCATAAAATAAGTCAAATGAGGCTAATTATTCTGTAGTGAAAAAAATTAAATATCAGCATTGGTTACACTGAGTTCTAGGATGAAATAAAATCAGAGGTTATCATTGGATACTTTTTTAATAATCCTAATAAACCTTTCATTATGTGCTATTGAAGAGAGAAAGCAGAAACAAAAATGACTCCACACCTGCAGAAGGTGGAGAGCAATCTTTCCCATAATTGCCAGTGTTTCTGAACATCCTCATAAGCTTCATTGCTAGAAATTAGAATCTATGTAGGTTTCTAAGGGAGAAGACAGGGATCACAACAACAGCAACTAAGCAAAACATCCTCTTCTTTGTAGAACATATACCACTAGATGCTGCTAGCAGCTGCTTGATTAACATCCTGGCAGGCAGGTCTCTCTGAACTACTCATTTCTGTCCAAGGTCATCCAGAAGGCCAGTGGCAAAACTGTAATTAAAACTCAGGGCTCCTGAATGCCACTCCAGCATTTTTCCCTTTAGCTCACACTGTGCACATTTACATGTGCCCCTATGGCGCTGTTGTTACTACGCCATCATTTAGTACTTCCTGGTGGCGCATGGTTATTATAACAATGACCTATAGAGAGGAAACACATTACTACAGTGACTTAGCGTGTTGCTATAGCAATGTAGCATTTTGTGTAGACATGCCTACTTTTTCACATTTTTACCTACCTTCACTACTTTGACTGCTCACATTGTGGCCTACCTTTGATCACCGGGAGCGCTGGAACATTGACTGCCGGTGGCCTAGCCCCAAGCCCTATCATGGTCTCAAATGACTGGCAAATACTTTGTGAATCACCCTGGGGATAGCTGATAGCTGGGAAGTGGGAGCTTCACTTCATTAGATTTTTATTCTAGCTGACAAAAACCCCCAGTATCCTCTAACCCTAGTAGCTGGGTGATAGAGCCTGGCTAGTGATAGGAATGAGACCTCTGTCATTCTTTTACATAAGCCATCATACTCAGAGCTTTGGGGACACTTTCATCTGTCTGTTAATGCCTAGGCTCCTAGTTGCTTGGAGCAGGGGTAGTCAACCTATGGTACATGTGCCACAAGTGGCACAAGCAGCCTTTGCATGTGGCAAGTGGCAAATTGGGGAGGTGGCAGACAGTACAGTGGCAGATACAGCAGAGAGCAGAGTGGCAGATCAGACAGGGGAAGGGAATTGGAATGACACACAGAAAGGGCAAAGGCCTTAATTTGTGGCACACTTACCAAAAAAGGCTGGCTCCCTCTGCCAAAATATACCCACAAGGCACCTCTGCCCAATTATGCTTCTTGCTGCTGTAAGTAAAATGCAAATGAGCCTAATGCTGCCCATGACAGCTATCTAAAATGGAAAGATGAGTGCCTTCTTCGAGCCAATCAGCCTCTTTGGACACAAGGACATAAGAAAAAGCAACACTTTGGATGGCCTAGGACAGTGGTTTTCAACTTTACTTAATTTGCAGACTCCTAAAAAATTTCAAATGGAGGTGCAGACCCCTAAAATATTTTGAATGGAGGTGTGGGCCCCTTTGAATTGTAAGTCTGGGTATTCACATACTTCTGATTCATCATAGTTATCATTTGCAGACCCCTTAGACAATAGTCTGTGGACCCTCAGGGGTCTGTGGACTACAAGTTGAAAACTACTGGTCTAGGATGAGTAAGGAATCCCTAGCAGCAACTTTGTGGCAAGAATAACCCTGGCTTTTTCTGAATGTGTAGATAGCATGGGAAAAAAATAAATTATAACTATAAGAAATTTGAACTTTATAAGGTAAACTGCTTTGTACAGTAATTGTACACACTCCCACTTCACTACATGGACCACATAAAAGAAAGGAAAGTTATATTTATTACCCTTTAGGCTTGTGCCATAGAACTTCTGTTAGATAAGACTGCACCGCAGCTACAGTACATTTACTGTATGAGATGCTATGCTGAAAGCCTGAGGGAAAAAAAAAGACCACCTCCTTCTTTGGAGGAGTAGTATATCAGGAGTAACTACTGAAACCAGTGGAGTTAAACTAGTTTAAAGATGGTGAAAACAAGAAAAAAATTACTCAGTTGATAAAAGTAGATTTGCAAAATTCTAGCAAAGTTTCCTTATTTGGCATGGTTATCTTGTTAGGTTATGATTTACTGAGCTGAGGAATTCACTGTGTAGACCTGCAATTTAAAAGTACAACTTATGTTACCATTAAATGGAATGATGAACTAATTCAGTGAAGTGTTCTTAATATATTTTAGTGCTTTATGTAAATTTCCTATACAGGTTTTAAAAACTAATAGGAAATAAAATGCAGAAAAAGGTTTTCTTGGGTTTCTGGTAGAGATCATATTAAAACCAGGCATGATTAGATGGTGTTATAGAACGATTCTCAAATAACTTGGCAAAGATTTAACATGTCAGCTGTTAAATTTTTAAAAAATGCTCAGGATTTTAGCTCTGTGACCCCCATCAAAAAGAATTACAAGTTGTCTAATGATCTGAGATTTTGTGCACAGGAATTATTGTCCCTTGGCATAAATACTACTTTATGTACAGTTCTAGCAGGTGCATTATATTGCCAAGTCTGTTCACGGGCAAACTGAATATAATAAAGATACATTACCTAGAGAAATATCTTTATCATCTTTATAAGACTAATAAATCAAGTCTTAAATCTTTTTTCCACATACATTTATATTCCACATACATATATATATTTAGTATTTCCTTTTCCTTTGTATTTTACATAACTTAACAAAGAAATGTTGAATTTTGTTTATCTCTTCAGGACAGGATCTGTTAGTTTGATACAGCTCAATTATAGTTCTCAATTGTTGTGAGAGGAAAGTACCATTGACTTGCTCAGTTCCAGTTTCATTTCTTGAACCATTGGATTTTTACAATCAATGTATAAATGCAAATAACTGAAACCTAGTTAAATATCTTTTCATTTTTTGTCATTTACCATGCATCTTTACAATAGGAAGACTTAACTAATTTGAATTTCCTATTGAATAAGACATTATACCTAAATGAAGAGACTCTGTTCTTAGTACTGGGTGGAACAGCCCAACATTGATATAAGTATCTTACAGCCACCATAGCTTCCTCCTCCCCTTGGGCATCAAGCTCTTCGCTAAATCTCGTAGAAACACAGCACAGGCTCTGACCAGAAGAACAGAATTTTATTGTATGCAAAGGAATTTATTCATGAAAATGTATGTGTGTTTACTGTACATTTACTGTATAAGATGAGGTGGACAGAGCAATGAGATCACTTCCTCATTCCCCGAAAAGGTTTTCGTTACTACATTTTTGGAAGATGTTACTAAGTCTGTTCTGTGTATTGCATCTCTTGGAAAACTCACATGCATAGTTTCAGAGTGGACTTTTATGCCTCTTTTTTAGTTTTCTTTGCTGTTTTTATTTTTCCATTCTATGAAAACTTATGATCAGATTTTGGAGTATTATAGATAGGTCCATTCTTTGTCTTGTGATAGCATTGCTAATACTAATGGAAGTACTTAATGGAGCATTGACTACAGGGATTTCTCTCAATGGACCTGAACAGTCTGCTGATTCTGCCCCCAGTATAATGAACTGGAAACCTTTGCCTCTACCCCTTGTCACAGAAGAAAAGCAGAACTATGGACATACTTTGAGTTGGATTGGGAAAGAAGAAATCATGTGGGCATGTCTAAACTATATTAGACAGTGCAAGGGAGTTCACTGCTCTGACAATATGCACTGCTCACTCACTCCCATTTTCAGGCCTGCATCTAGGACATTACCAGCATCATGTCTGGGCTGCCTTGGCTGCTTGCAAACATTAAGAAAACCCCCAAAGAATGTGCTTTAACAGAAGAGGCAGCATGTTACTTCGACTCAGCTCTGCAGCATCTGTATAGATTAGGTGCTTAAGCAGGGGTTATCTAATAGCTGATTCAAGCTATCAGCTATTAGATAAAAGTGTCAAAAAGCCCCACTTAAGCACCTGATCTATATAGGCATTGGGCAAGCCAGATCCAACTAACATGATGCCTCTTCTGGGCATGCGCTAGGCTCAGAATGGGAGCCCACCAAGTTTAAAGTGACGCGCTTTTTTTTAATGTCTTTAATCAGCCCTTTTGAGTCTATCTAAAGTTTCCCTAATGGAGCCTACATGACATTTTTTTGTAAGGCAGCAGGGCATTCGTGACCTTTTCTTTCATTGCCTTCTTACCCCAGAACACACACCATTGGTGTTCTTCTGCTGCTCCTGCTGCTTCACTTGACAAAAAAAAAATCAAAGTGCATATAATACAATCCCTCTAGGCAGTTTTATTTGAGTGGCACTTCCATGGCAGCAAGTTCATGCAGCAATTCATTTGGCAGTAATATGTGAGAAAATGTTAAGGGCCAATTCTTTAATGATAGACCCATGCATACATCAGTGCAGAAGGCCTCAGTTCAGATTTTCTTCAAAACCAGGTATGTGAACCTTATTTTTACTGAAGAAATCTATTTATAAGAGAAGGTGTCTTGATCACCGTGCTTTTGCATCAGTTAGACTCCACATATCCCTAACACAGGATCTAAGGCTAGCGATGGGAATATAAACTTTTATTCTTTAATTCCATTCTATAGTGTTGCTTGACCAATTCTCTGCTCTTTTCCTTTCCTTATTGGTTAGGTTATTAAAGAACACTTAGATGATCAAAAGTGATAAAAGAGCAGCCTAATCATATGATAGCAGCAGTGCACCCATACTGCAGGAATCCTGCTCCACAACCAAATGATTGCAGTCAAAGCCTTCATTCTGATACTAATAACATTCATTGAAATGAAAACACATGCATAAGGCTGAAGTCTGTGGACCTTTAGCCTTGTACAAGTGTTTTTAGTGTTGTAACTTCCATTTTTCTTAACAGGATCACTGACTGAGTAAATAATTTACTCCCAAAAGGTTAGGTCTTGCCTGGTCAGTCTTGTCTTCAGGTTATGGCAGCCGAGTAAAGCAAGCAATGGTTTCTAGTTTGAAATTGATTATTGGATTTAACATATGTGAAGTATTCACATATGTGAATTCTGAATCTGTGGAGCCAGATTTTCAGGTTGGTAAATCTCCCTTAGTTGCACCTGTTTTGTAGGAGCTGAGTATGTAGGACAGGGGTTTTGAACCTTTTTTAAGGAGTATACTTCTGGTGGAGTGGAGTGGTGGATGGCAGTGGCCACCACGGTGTATGAGCTCCCACCCACTGCATCCAGCCAGCCAGGTGGCACCTGCGCGGCCTGCAGAAGAGAGCCGCTGCCCTTGCCCCTCCCTGGCCCTGCTCCTGGGAGGTGGCAGTGCGGGGTAGTAGTGCTCCATCCCTGCCCGCCTGTCTGTGCGTGCCCCCTAGCTCCTTTTTCAAGTACCCCTGGGGGTACGTGTACCCCTAGTTGACAATCCCGATCTAGGATGTTTACAGCCTTTAAATTATACTCCCAATCCTTTATCTTCAAACATACTGTTGCATCGCAGAATTCTGCACTGCTGTTCAATGTAAAACCATTTCTATACATCGGTTACTAAATTGTCTCACTACAATCTGAAATTCAGGAATATTGTAAAAAAAAGTTGCCATTTCATTTTTTATGTTTAGAACTAACTTTAAAAAGTTCAAATATAACCATATTTCCAATTGTCTTTTACTATAAACAGTTTAACCCTGTTGATGATAAACATTTCCATATTTCAGTGGTTTTGCAATACCACGAGGCAAAGGTATCCTGCACCTATTGAAGTCTGCCCCATGAAAGCCTGTGGACAAAATTTAATTGACTTTCATTAAGTTTTGGATTAGGTCACAGGGCTTTGACTTTGTAGTATGGGAATCAATGGGACTTTTGCCATAGAAACAAATAGAATCAAACCTCATTATCGGCGTTTTTCTAACTCCTGTTATATGACAATTCCTAGAAGTGCTATGAATCAAAGAGCATTGGCATTCATGGTATTTTTTCAACGGAATTTTTTTTACCATGTCTCTGAGATGAGATCCAGGAATTATAAAAGTATTAATTCAGGGAATAATACTTTCCCAGAAGAAAAGAAAAAATAAATTTAGAAAATGACCCCAAAGCTTGCACAGTCATTTACATGTTTGGTCTGAGATTGGTTTGTCCAATTACTTGTGGTCACAGTATTGGCTACCATCTATATTTTTATTCAATGTTTAAAAGTAACTTTATCTAAAAGAAATCTGTTTATAACAGGATGAATTCTTACAACAACTTCAGCTTGTCCACCAACCCTGGATATTGCCAAGTGACACAGAGAGTGAAGGAGTGGAAGCTGATCAAGATAAATGTGAGTGTGTTTGTTGGTCATTGATTGTATATTAGAGAGTATATGTAAAAAAATACTTGTTCCCTCCCCTGATCCTGTACCCCTAAATCACACAAGTAACTTTGATTCACTAGGATTATGTACATAAGCGATAAGTAAGAGCTGAATGACTGAATGCATAGTCTTAAAAGGTTTCTTTAAATAGGTGTTCTTACAGTTAAGACTGTATGTTCTGAATCATGTAAGCAGCACATATAGCACCATAGCCCTGTTGCAGGCTGTTGGTAGAATAATGTTAGCAAAGGTCAATGGGATCCTGACCTAAATGAGAGAAAGGCTAACAAGTAACACACTCTGTAAATCTCCATATATTGAAGTCTTAACCAATTGTATCTGGCCATTAAGTATTGTAAATAATTTTGCTGGAAATATCAGAAGTCCTGCAAAATTTTTTGAAGCAGTCAGTAGTTTTGTGATCTGCCAGTGTGAAAATGTGTGCTCTTTCTAAAATTATTTTAGGTTTTATGTTTATAAAAACAGGCTGTTTAATCAGGTGCTTAGAGTACCTTGCACGTGGAACTGAAACTGCTTAAATAAGTAGCATTAGAATAGGTTAGGTCATTTTGCTAACGGAATAGTTGCAGGTAGGGCATTATTTATAATTAGTGAAAATCATGTATGATAAACAGAATATCCTTTTCCAAATGCTGTCCCTTAAACATTTCAAGAATTATATCTGCTCATGTGACTTTGTCAGTTCACAGTTAGCCTGTGGTATGACTTGCACATTAAAATTGAAATTTTGCAGTTCCCAAAGTATGAATCAGAACATTCTCAATGTCACAACAAAATAATTTTACATTTCCTGTCGCTACATTAGTGCAATGGATTTGGGCTCAGTTTTGGTTAAATCTAAAAGTCTTATTTATTTGATGGGTATCATGAAGGTGATACTTAGCCCTGGGTAAAGGACTAGATCCAGAGCTATATGGTCAAGGGACCCACTGCTTACCTTCTCCCCAGAGGTGAAAATTACCCTAGATTCACAAGCAGTGCAGGTTTAAATGCATATTGAATTGAGCCCACTGGACACATCTACACACGTGCTTTAATGGTAGAATCATAGAAACAAAGGACTGGAAGGGACCTGTAAGATCATCAAGTCTGGTCCCCTGCCATGGGCAGGAGATTATTGGGCTCAAACGAGCTCAGTGAGGTGCTCAACCATCCTCCTCTTGAACACCTCCAAGGATGGTGACTGCACAACCCCTGTTAGGAGTGTGTTCTAGATTCTAGATACCCTTAAAGAAAAGAAGTTTTTCCTAATGTACAACCTAAATCTTTCCTCAATTAGCTTGTGCCTGTTGGTCCTCATGCTCCCTGGATGTGCCTTTTTGAAGAGTTGCTCCCCTAGATCTTGGTGCTCACCCTTGACATACTTGTAGGTGGCTGTCAAGTCACCTCTCAGTCTTCTCTTGCTGAGACTGAACAAACCTAGTTCCCAGAGTCTAGTAACCTATTTTACTGTGCATTAAAGCATCACATAAAAAATATAATTATGCTAATGTGTAGTAAAATAGGCTATTGCACATTCAGCATCACTTAAAAACTGTGCACATTCATTATTTTACATTAAGGCAGCCAAGTGCACATTTGTTTGGCATCTCACATTAGAGGTACTAAATTTAATGCGCATTAGGAAAAGCTTCTTAATGTATGTGTTGACATGACCACTGTGTAACTATTATAGAATCTCTTTGATGCTTATACCACTTTTTGATTTAGCTTAAACTTGTGACACAGAACAGAGAAGAAAAAAATTATAATTGTAAACAATAGTTTCTTTCATGAAAAGAATTTACAGCTGTAATGTGCTTGCACCTTGATTGTAAGTCTATCTGGCATCTTGCATAGTTATCCACTGTACCATTTAAAGTGGTTTATTCTTTGTACTATTGTAACTATAACAGCAGAGCAAAGCATTTTGATCTAAGCAATATTGCCATGTTATGTGACATATGAGAAAGGTAAATTGGGTTGAAAAATTAGTTTAAAAAAATAATAATTATGTGGTAATAGTAGCCATCTGGAGGCGGAATGCTAGTGCTGTAGCCAAGCCCACAGCACAGAACTGCAACTGTTGGAAAATAGGAGCTGCAAACCCCCCAGGTGTTGAAATAACTGTAACATAGACAGCCAATGAGCATCCTGGCATACTTGCTGATGCCAGTTCTGAGTGTTCACTGAAGGTAGAGCAGCTGGCAAGGTATGAATAGATTACATTTCATTTTTCATCCTAAATTTAATAAATCTGTGTGGATGCTGTATATGTGATTTAGTGCTGAAGGGCTTGAAAGTTCATAATTTATGAGTCTAAGCAGAAGAGCTACAGAATTAATCTCTATAATAGCAACACCTGTTCTTTGACTCAACTTTTAATAAATTATATGTGGGTAATATTTACCACATTCTTTGACTTCTTTCAGATAATAGCAACCATGTGTAAAGCTAGTCTTAGGCAATAGGAAAACTCTATCCATGAAGAAAGTTAGATGAGAAGGCATATGAGTCACGTTGTGTTCTTTTACAGACTTCTTTAAATGAATATCTTCTAGTGAGTATTGTGCTTCAAACTCAATGACGAGTTTATATAGGGTAGCATTTTCAAGTGAATTGGGAACCTAAAAAAAGAATCTTAAAATCAATCATGACAGTTAAGCACCTGATTCTCATCAACCTAACTATCATTTGTGTCTTGAAAAATATGTCCTTAAACCAAATTTTCAAGAGTTCCCTTAAGAGTTTAAATCTCTTTGGAAAGTCAATTAATTGTATTTAGCTTCTAGCTGATTTTTTAAGTTGTTCTTCAGCTCATAAGTTATTTGAGGTTCTTTGAAAATGTTACCCTTTGTTTGTAAAATAAAACAGAAAGAATCCAAAAGAAATGGAAATGAACAATGTTTCTTAAAGTTTCACATTGGGATAAAGGGGAAAAAAAATATTTTTTCTTTGATAAATCCCAAGATAGAAAAGTCTGGAACTCTTTAGTTATATTACTGTAAAGGAAAATCCAATACAGTTATCCTGGAGCAATACAGAAATGCCATAATGATGGGAGAAAAAAGGAAGAGTTTTATATTAACTGCTACTTTGAACCCAAAATAATATAACAGTTGGGTTTTTTAATTTGATCTGAAATAAGATTGTATTGTGGTTACAGTCCAGTCAGTCAGATTTATAGATGTGTAAATCTGTATCACTCTCTGTTGGTATGTCTATACAAAGCACTTTACTAATCTAAGAGCCCCAGCAGCCTTACCTGGGGTTCTGGGGGACTCCCAGGGCTCCAGCAGTGACAATCTGAGAGCACGGAGCCTAGGCTGCAGTTTCGGGTGGTGCACATTGCCGCCACGTGCACAGCCTCACTTTTTTCTGGTGCGGGTTTTTTTGACACCAACATTTCTCAATATCAGAAAAACCCCACTGTACTGCAAATTAGCACCTGCATGTGCAAACACCTGCATGTGCAGCATATGTGGTTTGAGGCACCACAGACAGATGTGCAGTTCCACAAACTGTACATGCTCACTCATCTGGATAGACCCAGACAGCAAGAGCCTGACTAAAAACTGATTTGGGGTGGGGAGATGCTCCTGGTCAGCCCAGGAGCATCTCCCCCCAGTGCTTAACCAGGCCAGGGAGCAGGGGCCTGACTAAGCACTGATTTGGGGGAGAGGGGGTGATGTCCTGGCTGCAGGGGCAGCTGTCTTCCTGCCACGTGGGAATTGGGACCCATCCTAATCCCCATGTGACTGGGAGTGCTGTCTTGGCCAGGACTGCTACGTCTCAGCTATGTGGAGATTGGGTTAGGACCTGATCTTCATGTGGCCAGGAAAGCCATCCACACTGGGCGGGGATGCTGACTGCCAGCCAGCCACATGGGGATCATGAGGGTCTCAGAGGAGACAGGTCTCCTGGCCACATAGGGACTGGGAGGGTCCTGATCCCCAGTAGGGAGCATCCCAGCCACATGAGAATTGGGACCAGCCCTTATGTCCCCTGCTTGCCCGGGGGGTGGCACCCAGGGGAGCCTGAAGCTCCACCTGGATGCTGCAGGGGTGTGTAGTAGGGTGGAAGCAGACCTGGACTGGGATGCTCCTGTCAGTTTGCTCTACACAGGGGCACACGTAGACATGCACCCCATACCACTTTAATACATTAATTGCATGTGTAGATGTACCCTGTGAGTCAAAGGCTGCATACAGGCATTCAGAACCACTGCAAGAATTCTCACAAGTTTTTTCCAACTAGAAAACTCTACCAGGAGAAGACTGTACAGGCATTCCAGGGATCAGGTGAATGCTGCATAGACAGCCTGCACTGCTGAAGGTTCACAGCCCGCAGCCCAGCATGCTTTGCGGGCTCCCCTGACTGCCAGAGTGCCAAAAACAACTGAGCACACAGAAGAGCACTGAACAGCTGACCACCCAAGGGGATCACATCCACCCAGAGAACTCCTAGCCGCAAGCCCATCCTTGCATTGAGAGAGCAGAGCCAGAGCAGAATACTACCGATCTTGAAAATTTTCACTTCAGCAGCTCACAATGGATCCATATCCCTCTCATTCTGGAAGCTCAATTTCCTGCTGCATTCCTCTTGCCAAAGAATCAGGTTAGTTTGGAGTATCCTTTCTGCACTAGAAGCTCATGATGGCATGCAGCCTTCTTCAAATGGCTTTGGGTCGCATGGCTGCACTCCTACCTGAGAGCCTTTACAGGTGCTTCTGCCCAAGCAGCCTCTTGGATCTCACTGAAGACATCCATGAGGAAGAAGAGGCCCTATAGATCTCTGTGCAGTCTAAGGTACTCTGGAAGCATCTGAAGACCCACTAGCAGGTGGGAGAGCCTTGTCTTAAGCACCTAGCATAATCACCAATGGCCATCTTCATGGAGATAACTGCCAAACTGGCCCTGCACATCGAATGACAGGATATCATCATAAAGCCACCCCTGAATTTGGTG